AAAATCTGTCAAATTTGCTTAGTATAAACAAGATGGATACAGAAAAGAGATAATTATCTTTCAAACCACATTCAACTCTCTCTCTACTATTACAGTACTACATTAAGATCTAGTTAGTAGATCAGGAGTCCCCAACCCCTGGGCCTTGGCCTATCTGGAATTGGGCTGCACAAATGGCTGGTCAGAGTGTGCATGTGTAGTTTGAATTGTGTGAGCAGCCTGCCAGCAAGCACTTGTGCGTAGGCACACCAGCCTGATGCTTGTGTAAGTTGAACTGCATATGTGCATGCCAGCCCACCGCTCATGCAGCCCAGTTCTCCTCCCCCCACCAAGCTGGGCTGCCAAGCCACAAAGGTTGGGGACTGCTCATCTCAGGCATGATATTCCCCTCTGAAAAAAAAATCGGGGCCAGCCAAGAGACCCCGCGCTGCGTGCCAAGAAATCGCACACACAACACCAACGCTACACACCCTTCCTTTCCAGCCGGTCAGGTGTGGATCAGCTCAGGAGCTGGGCAGCCGCTTCCCTGGTGGCGGGGCCGAGGCCGCCGCCCGGGGAGCACCCGCTGCTTTCCCTCACCAGGGCCGGGCGGTGGCGTGTTGCCCTGCGCCGCATGGCCCCCGCCTGGCAGCGCGTTTCTCGGCACAAGGCAGCCGGGTTGCCCAAGGAGCCCGGCTGGCCAGGCGAGGGGAAGGCAGCAAGGGCCCTGCCGGGCTGGGGCGGAAAACCCGCTTGGCAAGGGGCCGGGGAAGCCTGCAGGCAGAGGACCAAGCGCGCTGGGAGGCAGAGATTCGGCCGAGGCTGTCAGACGGAGAGACAGCTGGTCTGCTCCGGTGCCGCTGGTGCCGTTGCAAAGCGCCGCCAGCAACTCCTGACTCAGGGGGCCTCCGAGGGGAGGGGAAGGAGGAGAAGAAGGGGGGGAGGGGGGGCGATTCCCAAAAAAATCAGAATTCCGATTTTAATCGGAAGAATATCATGTCTGTCATCTAAACTATTCCTATGCTAAATAGTTGTTTTCTAGTTTTCCTTATACTGTATTCCTATACGTTCCTTTAAAATAAAAACCTACTTCATGTTTTCAAATAATCCAAACTTCTTTATACTTTATTCTTTATAGAGAATTCCAAGTGAAATCAGCTTATGTTAGATAGAACTAACTTTAAAAAAATAACTTCTTTCAAATGGAGTCAAGGGATATTGCAGTAGTATCCTCTTCACTTTGGAAGGACAGCTACTGAAGCTGAAGCTCAAATATTTTGGCCACCTAAGGAGAAGCAAAGACTCTTATCATGAAAAGACCGTGATATTGGGAAAGATTGTAGGCAAAAGGAGAAGGGGATAGCAGAGGATGAGGTGATTAGATAGTGTCACTGAAGCAATGAATATGAATTTGGGAAAACATTGAGAGACAATTGGGGGGTATGCTGGCAAGTTATGGTCCATAGGGTGGTAAAGAGTCTGGCTCAACTTAGCAACTGAACAACAACAAAAATCCTGCTCACCATGGACAAACAAATCACCAGTATGGTTTTCTAATACCACTGAGTTTTAATTCATTATGTTGTTTAAAAAAACTGACTCCATTATTTCTTTTTATTAAGCACAGCAAGATAATGTTTGATTGATTAGTCTCACAATTAAGTGAGACTAAGCTTTTGTGTAATGTCAATCAGAACAGATTACAGTACAATTTTCACTGTTTCTACTGTTGTTTTAGAGCAAAATAGCTGTGACTTCAGAATAAAACAAAGTTGCATACCCTCTTTGTCAATTAACTAAGTGCACAATGTTAGGAAACAATAAGAAACCTGAAAAGCAAGGAGGAAACTATTATTTAATTTTGAAGGGAGACAACTTATATATGTCACAAAAGAGCCTTAGAGAAAGTTATTGCTATATGAAAGAAATATAGTTAAGTGTCAATTTATTCAATTAAAAAAATCCTTTCAAGAAATGCCCAATAGCAATTAGCAGCTATGGTGTGGAAAGAACTAAAGTACAAATACTCACAGAATTGACACATCTAACTAAAAAAATAAATACATAAAATTATTCTGATTTACATATTATATGGAAGCCCATAAAATAGTACAATTATTAGTTTCTTAAAACATCTAAACAATATTTCTGAAACTGAGTTTATAAAGAGCTTTTAACATTAAGTCTAAATAAATTAAAATACAAATAATTTCGGATTGGTAAATTATTGTGGAAATAATGTTGATATATAACTAACACATTACAGCTACATTCCTCTTTATAATAAGAGCATATTATGCAATAATGAACATTACCTCACGTAATGTGACAAGTGTTTTTTTGTCAATGGTAGCTCTTTTTACAAGCTCTTTATTTTCCTTTTCTGCTTCTTTTAGACGAATAGATGCTTCTTTACATAAACCAATTTCTTTAAAGAGTGATTTGTTCTCTTTTTCCAGGTGACCTATTTTCACATTATTTTCTTCTAGTGTGCTATCCATAACATCTGCTTGTTGCCTGAGCCTTTTATTCTCTTTCTCTAGCTGTTTCTTATCTTTTTCTAGCTGGGTTGTTTCTTGCTCCAAAAGTTTATTCTCTTTTTCTAATTTTTCTAAACGTTTACTGGAGATTTTGAGTTCCTCAAGATTTTTTTGCAGGGTCTGATTTTCTGACTCCAGTTCTTGTAATTCACTTTCTAGATGTTGAATCTTTTTGTTATTGTTTTCTAGGGTTTTCTGCAACCTTTGATTTTCTGTATCCAAGCCTTGATAACTCACTTCTAAACGTTCTGTCTTTTTAAAGGATGCTTTCATAAGATCCAGGCTCTTCTGTAGCTGGCCTTTTTCACTTTCCAGTTCTTTATTTTCCAGTTCTAACTGAGCCATCTTGATGTTGGTACTCTTCAAAGATTCAACAGATCTTCTGAGTTCTAAGTTTTCTTCATCAAGTTGTGCATTCTCTTTCTCTAAGGACTCTAATTGAAAGCTGAGATTTTTCAGACTATCTAAAGTCTTTTTCAGCTTTCTGTTTTCAACATCTAGACTGGAATTCTCTTGTTCTAAAGAATCAATTTTTTCACATGTAATTTTTAAATTAGTAATTCTTTTCTGTAATAGTTCATTTTCTTTTTCAAGATGATGAACTTCTTTCTCCAGCTCATCCATTCTTTCTCCCCTTTCTTTATAATGTTCTAACTCTTTTTTCATTTGCTTCTTTTCAAATTCTATTTTACTCAGTTTGCTGCTTGTCTCTTTGATAGATTCATGGAGAATTTTATTTTCCTTCTCAATATCTTTTACTCTTGCTTCAGCACTGATTTGTGAACGCTGTCGAAGTGAAGTTACAGTTTGATTCAAGTGTTCGATTTCCTGTTCCAGGATTTTAATCTAATTCATTGAAATGAAAAATACAAGTTTAAATCAGCTATGGGTATTTTGTATTTAGATAATATAAGAGTTCTAAGAGTTAAGATTTGAAAAGATGCATTTTACAGTCTAAATTATAAGACTAAGTTTTGACCTGCTGATATATTATTTTATCGCCCTATACCTACTTCAATCCAAACATCTCATTTTCAAATCTGTAGAGGGCAAGCATTTCAAGAAACTAGTGGAGTTGTTCCTTTAGCATTTTTCAGTGTAATCAACAGGAAAGTTTCCCTTTCATAAAGAATGAATATCAGAGAGCTAAAACAATGGAAGGAGGACTTTTTTGATCAAAGATTGAGTTTGGTTTACTCTTTAACTCTTTACACTTTAGCAGAAAAGAAAAAAAAGAATGTATCTGAATAGAAACATTAGGCAAATACAGTTAATTATGTCATCAACTCAAATTATTTCTTGAATTAGTCAAGAAAAAAGGCTTGAACTATTCTCTTT